ACAACATACAATAATAGCATTTATAGAACAGTAAAAGTTAAAAAACTGAATGCTGAGATAAGTGTTATTGAATGGCTTAAGGAATGTTTAAGTATTTTGGGAAGATGTTCATTTACTTTAAGTTCCTCATGTGTTTTTGTTTGTCTTCAGTTCCCACGGAATTGCATGCCTTCACTCTGAGAAACATGGGCATCAACAATCTTGAGGCCTCATGGACAAAACCACCAGGAGATGTAGACTTGTACATGTTGACATTGCTACGGGATAGGTGTGTCTATAAGGAAACTATTACAGTAACTTCTGTTTGATCAGGGTATTTAAAACACTTGTAAAATCTACAGCATTACACGAGGTCTGAGATCATTCATCTTTCAGACCACGTCTTAAAACAGATAGAAGTCAAACTGCAATCATGCAATATGTATAACCAGCAACATCTACAGCTGCTTTTAAAGTCCCTCGTTATACATTTATCCACTCTGCTTTAACTTTTATTCATGTCAGTGTGAATATTAACATGTATTTTCCTTTTTAGTGTTGTGGTTCAGAACTACAGCGTTCCAGTTAGCTCTTCTTCTCTGCTGCTGGCTGGTTTGACACCTGGCACCCTCTACAGGCTGCAGGCTGTCACTGTCAGTGGGAAGCTACAATCTAACCCCATCAGTCTGGAGGCACGCACAGGTGACATTTTATTAAACCTTTACATCTCTGCAGTCTCTGATGAAAATGTATTTCTTGTTAATGGATTATGTTAAGAGGTCTCTCCTTTCTAATAATTTCACATCATAAAAAAAAAAATACATATAGAAACTAAAAATAAAAATCATGTGAAAAATAAGGTCAAAACTCCCTACTTCCACAGAAATTAACTGGGTAAGTAGCAGCTAATCAATTTTACTTGATTGATTAATCATCAGTAAGTGTGAGCACCTCTATAAAGGATGATGTTTTGCCCATCTGGAATAGTCCATCATTCTTCATCTTCCAGCTGCTCACTTTAAGGGTCACCACAGCAGATCATCTGCCTAACCCCAACCCTAACCCTCATCTCAATAAATCCCTGATATCCTCTGTCACATCAACCCTCCACATGTCCTATTTCGAACATTAATTTTCCAGCAAATTAACCCCACGCTCGGATCATGCAGACTCTACAGGCCTCAGTTAGCGGGAGTCTGAACCAGGTTAGCTTATTAGTCAGCACAATAAACTCATACCTACTGTCTGCATGTTGGTGGAGGGCTGATGATTTGGGCTTGATTTACAACCACAGAAACTGGATACCCAGCAATCATAAAGTCTTCCATAAACCATGAACTCCAGAGTATTCTAAAATCAAATGCTAGATGACCTTTTCTAAAGCTAAAGCTTGGGTCGTGCAATAGGATAACAAGCCAATACACAGAAGCAAATCGCCAACAGAATGGCTGAAAAAGAAAAAAAAAAAAATCAGTGCTTGTATTTAAATAATGAACCTGGTGAGGGCACAGCTGTGTTTGTACTCCGCACACGTGAATATGACATTGTTTGGAATTCAATATTTATTTACACTCATTTTTTATTCTGTTGTCAGAGGGGAAAAAATCATGTTAACAAAAAAGCTCCAGTTTACAGTAACTGTTACTGTTCAGGAAGCCAGAAAAACTGTGAAATGTTTACAACACACAAACATGCAAACGCACGACAGCTTATGTAACACAGTTTGATTGCCGGGATCTTATTGTGTAGAGAAAATATTGCTGTGTGTTCCCATGTGGTAAACAGATTCGGCGTCTGTGAACAGGAAAAACTCAGTGACCCTCTCAACCAAACAGTCTGAACAGGAATGTCAGCAGACAGTTTACAGTAACTAAAAAATGTCCTGAGTTGACTTTGTGGACCGCTGTAAAATCAGGCTCGCTGGAAATATTAG